GTTAGATGATGTATAGTAACGCTATCAAGGAACTACATATAATGCTGGATATTTTCTGTAACTTTGCAGTAGGTTTGATGACCATTTTGAAATCTACTATCATCCCTCTAATTGCTAAAAGCTGTAGAAAGGGTGAATAGTTACTGTCGTAGAGAAGGCAATAATATGGATACAAACAAACAATTAGAAGAAGCTTCTGTAGGCAGGGGTAGATCCACGTTGCCCCTAAATGAATAAGAGGAGGGGAAGTTTCAACCAACTCCCGTTTGAGTCCCTAACGCCTTTGTTTTTGAAGAAGAAAGAGCGTGTTGAGAATGATATTTGTGTTGAGAATGATATTTGCTAATGAAATATATATATATATATAATTTTTTGCATTTATTTTTTATATATTGAGTTTGCTCATCCTAAAAAATAGGCTGGATCCGCCCATTTGTAGGTCATGGTTCCATTGAGTATGATGATCATTCATTGTGGACATGAACTTGGCTCTGTTTGGGAGCTCTTCGTAAGATGCTATTTTCAGTTGAAATCTCTACTATGTGGTTCATACCCACTTCATGCCACAACGAAGGGTTCCCAAATAGGAAAAATTATTCTGTGCGGATGCCAAACGCTGTCCGGAGACCAATTAGAATGCGTCACGTCACACTTTTACTATACCGCAGCTCTTTATCGTGGCATCTGGATGTAGAGCTACGTCCAGCATCCGTACAGAATAATTTCTCCCCAAACAAAGATAATGTTTTAAAATTCTGCGTGATAATGCTTCATGCCCTCTTCATGATCAATTTGTCTAAAATGTTAGTGTTTACAACTTCACTAAATATTCTTGTTAATTTGTAAATGCATTGTTTTCTTGTAAATTCCTGCACTGAACGAGAAGCTTCCTGACCAATTTCATTCAGTCTAGTCTAATCATATCACCTGATGACTTAGTTTTTCTCCACCATGCAGGACGCTATTAAGGACTTGGAGTGAGGCTATACATCTATTATGTGATCACCATGGTACATAAATTTAAGCTTATAAGATTTGAGAGCTCATCAATGGCGTCAAATACCAAACGGACATATAAATCTACTTATCAATACCTCAACGCGGTATTTTCTGCTAAGGCAATTCCATGTAAATAATTTTGTTTAGACTGTTAGTTCTAACGCTTTGCTCCCAATCTGCTTCTTCCTGTTGGATGTGAGGTCTTCTGGACGTATTCATCACAGGTTAATAGTTTGAAATGAAGGAATTTATTGATGTGACGATTTGAAATTCTGCTCTTTCTTAAAAAGAAATGTAGTACTGGGAGATGAAGCAGAAATGTAGCTTCCTTGAGTAAAAGGTATGTTTGGGATAAACTTTTTTTTTAAAAAAATTGGTTTTTGAACAACAATCGCAAATACTTTTTGCTACTATTTATACGGTGAAAAGTTATCTTTTGTAATTAGAATAGTTAAGTTGTTTTTTCATAATAATTTTATAATCAACTTAATAAAAAATTGTAATCGTCTCAAATAGATTCTAATTCTTCTGACTCCTATTAATACAAAATTGTAGTTAAATTTTTGTGGTGTCTGTTGAAAGTGAAATTATTCTGTGTGGATACGGACGCTATCCGGAGATAAATTAGAGCAGGTCACGACACCTGTTTGATGTGTATCGTGGCTGTGTACCGCTGTGTATCGGGTGATATGGAGCGTTCTAATTCACCTTCGGACGATCCAGTGTTCGTACAAAATAATTTCTCATGTTGAAAGGTATCTATGGTGTGTGCAATTGTACTTGTGATATTATTATAATATCACAATGTTGTGTCTGTTAATGGAACTTTTATTATGTCTGGTGAACGTACAAAGAGCTACGTTCGGTCGGCACTAAGATCGCAGGCACAAAACGAGAAATACCGAGCAATACTAACAATAACGAGAAATACCATTATGTGAAGATAAAATACCGAGTAATACCGAGCAATACCGAGTAATCCTCAAAAATATCGAGTTTTAAAAAACTAGGTATTTTTGGGGGTTACTCGGTATTGCTCGGTATTACTCGATATTGATCTTCACAGAGCGGTATTCCTCGTTATTATCAAAGAATTCCTAGCAATATCGACCAAATACCGAGCAAAAACCGAGTAACAATCATCTGACCAAACGTAGAGCTACGTCCGGTCAGAGGACGTAATAAAAGTTCCTGTTAATGACCTTATTAATCTATCATATTAAAACAGGATGACGGAGAAAATGGTTGGCCACCATTGAATGCGGCGCCTTGAGTAATAAGATTTCGTTTGGGGCTGTTTTTCTATTGCTTTTTAAAAGGATTTTTTTAGTACAAAAATTGTTAATTTTGAAAAGCTGTTTTAAAAAACAGTAAAATAATTGTCCTAATCGAAGTTTAAATTTTTAACTTTCGTTATGCTTGGAATTATATAACTCGTTTTGAAATTTATAATTGTTGAATTTTCTCAAATTGTAGTGATCATTATTTATAAGACAAGGGTAAGAATATAAGACATTGTCGCTTGTGTACCTTGATTTGGCTGAGCCAGAGCTATCTAATGATCAATTTAGCTCGGCTAAGTTTCTAGAACCTCTATAAATTATGGAGAAGATATGCTCTTGTAATCTTTTCAGGAGAAAAGAAGAGCATTCCAGAAGGAATGAGGAACCTTCTAGAACGCTTGAAGAGATTTTCAGAAGAATATTATGTAAAGATGATAAAGTTGGCTAAAAATAGAATTCAAAGTTAGCTCACCTTCATAATTAAGGGGGTTGGTCAGCCCCTAAAGTAGATGATAGTTTATTATTGGATTTAAATTCAAGAAGAGGATTAATAATTTTGTGCTGATTCGGACTGCATCAGGAGATAAATGTAAGTGTGTCACGTCACTTTTTTCTGTGTATCGATGTTGTGTATTGGGTGATGTGGCGCGCTCTCATTTGTCTTCGAATGATCTGGTGTCTGCATAAAATAATTTCTCCAAGAATAGGCAGTTGAAGTTGATCATAAGAGATGAAAGAGAGGAACATAGATAACTTAATGGTAGATAATCGAGAAGCTTTCTAAGTAGCTTTTTCATAATTTACCCTCAAGAACTTCACAAGGGATAACCATAGCTTTAAGAAAATGGATTGAATCATATTTTTCATTATTTATTTAAACTTTGATTTACTTATCAACTAAGATTTATATGTTAAGATAACTGTTTGGTTTATTTAATAATTTATCTAGCATAATGATAATGAACCAATCCTTGTCATAGAGCTAGCTCATCTTTTTTGCCAAAAAAAAAAAAGTTATTATTAGATGGCTATAATCAACTCGGATATTGAGCCATTTTCATTCTTTAAATCATCATAATCATAGGTCCCCTCTCATCCTTCAAAACTCTAATACCATTTTCTAACACCTCATATTCAAATCAAGATGGGTTGTACTCAATCCATTATTCATAGTGATCATGATGGAGAATTTAAAAATAAAAAATTAATAGCCAATTGGTTTATTATTCTTAAGTACCTATTTATTTTATATATATATAAGAAAAGTCTGAGTGCAAAAGGATATAATTAGAGAGGGAGGGACTAAATTTTGAAGAAACATTTGCCCCAATTGCACATTAAGAAGCTCTAAGATTTCCATTAGCATTTGAACATTTTAAAGGATTTAAATTATATCAAAGTGATGTAAAACATGTATTTCCAAATGGAGTTTTTTTTTTTTTAAATTTCCAAGTGGAGTTATAGATGAGGATGTATATGTTGAGCAATTGCTTTGATTTAAAAGTAAAAGAAATCTTAGTTATTGTTTGATTTAAAAAACAAAAGTTGTTGGAGTTTTGAAAAAAATAATTTATCTTTGGAAGAATTTAATTCCTGAAATTTTAATTTTGAAATCGAACACTACATTATGAATGATATATCGCATCGGGAGGTGAGCATATCATTCCCTAATGCGTTCGGATTACAAAACTTTGAATTTATCCTAATTATCATAGTTAAACTCATGGAAGGACAACATATGATCACAGAGGATCAAAAGGATGTTTGATTGAGTGTTTGACTTTAATAATCTAGATAAGGGATCATTTATTTCATAATCAAATTTATGATAATAGAATGATATATCATCCCAAAGAAAGAAGATATCGTTTATTATCAATCATTTGAAAATGACGATAATGATTGTTGACTTTGATTTTCACGAAGATAATTAATTGATGTTTTGAAAAACTTGATTTGGGTTTCTAAATTTCCTATGAGCGCAAGCCCTTTTATTTAATTACATCGTATGAAACCTAAGTTTCATACGAATATTCTTGATTAAAATAAAGATAGAAATTTTATTTGGAATTTTCAAAAAATGATATCAAAGGATTGAAGTTTCAATTTCAAATTAGTTTGAAATAAGATTAAACACTTATTTATGGAGGTCAAAGGAGGAAATGTAGGATGTGATTTGGGATTCTGAAATATTTCAGAAGCTCCTCAGACTATCCTAAGTAATGGGATTAAATTTTGATTAAAAGAGATTTAATTTGAATGATCAATTTTATTAGAAAGTTAGGATTATATTCCCAAAAGATTGAGATCTTATAGTCTGAACATGCCTCAGAACCTATGTCTAAATTAGGTACTGAAAATCAGTAACCCGAAGCTAACTAATGGATGTTGACCTCGATTTTGCCCAGACCCGGGCCTAAAGAGTTGACTTGGTCAAATTGACCAAGCCAGACCCTATGGCCCTCCCCACTGGGTTCAGTGGGTCGAGTCGAGTCTGTCGAGCCCGAGCTTGGACCCGGGGTCAACCCGGTTGACCAGGTCAACCAGAATTGACCAAATGGGACCCTTTAAGCCTAAAATCTTTTTTTAATTTATTTTTCATGGTTTCTTGAGCTCGAGCCCCACCCCCTTGACTCCCTTGACTGGTTTGACCAAGTCAATCGTTGACTTGGTCAAACCAAGTCTTAAATAGGCTTAAATAGCCTATTTAGAGCCCAATTAAGAGCCTAATTAATGCCCTTAACTCCTCCAAACGTTTTGAAACTCCAAATCCCGCCCAAATCACTTGATCTAGCCTGGTGATGGACGGTGGATCGATCTTGGGCGTTGATCTCAAACCTTGGCTCTTAAATACCCAAAATTAAGTCCAATTTAGGATCTTTTTTTGATTGCTCTTGCCCTAACCCGTCTCCCCCCGAGAAACTTAGCGTGAGAGCTCTCCTCATGCTCCTCCACCTTTCCCACGTCAAATCCCGGCGCCCTAGGCTCGCCGGCGGCGAGAAATCCGGCGAAACCGAGGCCAAAGACCTTTCGGGACTCCTACCGTCCGATCGAGGCCTTTTTGGAGCTCGAGGTCAAGAGGAAGATTGTTACTGCTGATCACACGAATCCAACGAGCCCAAGATCTCCCGAATCCACCGTGTGGATTGAGGTATATCTCAAACCCTAGTTTAGAACACTTAGGGTTAAATATCCACCCTAGGGACTTGATTTTAGCATACACTTCTTTTGGTTATAGGACTTGACGTAGCCTTAAAAAGGAGGTTAGTCATACTACTTTTATTTATTGGTTGAGCCTATTAATGTAGGTACGCCTTAATATATGAATTTTGAATTATAGTTATACAAGAAAACTAATTCAAATTTCTATAAATGATGTTTGTTAGTTAGTACCAAGACTTATTGATTAGAGTGCAATTTAAATTAAATGGGTATTTAAGAATAATAAATTAATTGGCTATTAATTAGTAATATATATATATATATATATATATAAAGTCTGACTGCAAAAGGATATAATTAGAGAGGGGGGGACTGAATTTTGAAGAAACATTTGCCCCAATTGCACATTAAGAAGCTATAAGATTTCCACTAGCATTTAAATATTTTAAAGGATTTAAATTATATCAAAGTGATGTAAAACATGTATTTCCAAATGGAGTTATAGATGAGGATGTATATGTTGAGCAATTGCTTTGATTTAAAAGTAAAAGAAATCTTAGTTATTATTTGATTTAAATAAAAAGTTGTTGGAGTTCTGAAAAAAATAATTTATCTTTGGAAGAATTTAATTTCTGAAATTTTAATTTTGAAATCGAACACTTCATTATAAATGATATATCACCTCCGGAGGTGAGCATATCATTCTCTAATGGGTTCGGATTACAAAACTTTGAATTTATCCTGATTATCATAGTTAAACTCAGGGAAGGATAACATATGATCCAGGAGGCTAGGATCAAAATGATGTTTGATTGAGTGTTTGAC